GCGCGCCGGGCGCGGCCCTTCGGAGCGCGCGGCTGGTCCTCCGATGGAGCCCGTATTTAGATATGATTTATTTTTTATTTTGTAGCACAAACAGAAATCCATAAACTGTCGGTTCAGCGCCATTGACTCTTTGATCAGTTACTGGGCTATTTCTTTCCTTTCTTCCCCCCCCCATCCCCGTCAGTGAGAGGAGATTAAATGCCTTTATTTTTCAGCCCTGTTTATACGGCAAAGGTCCGCGGCTAAATGAACAATCAAGTGTACTTGAAAGGAGCCCTCCTCTCCTCTGTGCAACAACAGGGCTGAGGCGCGCCTGCATCCACCGCTTCATTAGACCGCAGTGTTTTCCCAAAACATCAGCCCTTAACATACAAAGAAATAAAAGCGCCCTGTCAACGAGCAACCTGATTTCCAGGGGCTTCTCTGAATCCGAGGGAAATAATTACCGAAGGGCACACCGCCTGTCTTTGTCAGAGGGAAGCGCAGTTTACCTGTCAGATCTGTTTTACTCGGAGAGACAACCGCGCTGTTTTAACCGCTGCCGTTAAAAATCTAACACGCTGGCTGCCTGGGTAAGGACAAACTTTCTAAGGGGGAGGCAAAATCAGAAAAGTAATTGCCGTGCAGAGTGCGAGGCGGGCGGGCCGGGCCGCAGCAGGCGCCGGGAAGGAGCTGGAGGAAGGAGCTCTCCCTCGCTGGCTCGCACTCAAAGTTTGCACCAGAAACGAACACTCCACTTTCCACTCTCTTTTAAATCGATCTGTGCCAAGTGGATTTAATTTACACATTGGACCTGCCCCTCCCCCAACCCTCAATTTTTAAGAAAATGGGATGGGGGGGGAGGCATCTTTAAAACAACTGGACAACCTACCACCCAGCACAAAACCCCTGCACAATGTCAGAGAGCAAGGAAGCTCTTTTCTGCGCTCAACGGCATCACTGAGAGCCAACAGTTATCCTCGGAAAAGTTGACCGGGACAGGTTAAATAATTTAATAAAGGAACTGCTTGTAATTATGTTATTTACAAGGTATGACAGAGGGTGGGAGAGGGAGCCAGAGCTGCTCTCAGAGCAATGGGCGGGTTTGGGTGACCCCTGGAGCTCGCAGTTTGAATTATGGAGATGGGGGGCCCAGAGGTGAAGATGGACTAGAGGAGAACACGGTGACTTTTCACCCCAACACATTTAACTTTTAAATCCAAATAAACGTCTCCTGTTACTAGACCGTCATACTGGAAAGGAGGGAAAAAAATGAACCAATCACGTCCCACTCCCTGGGGTTTGGAAAAGAGTTAGTTGCCATTGTTATGGGGGGGGGGGAATCGATGAAATGATTCCAAGGAGAGAGAGAAAAACACGCACAAAACGTTCAAAAATACACGGAAGGGAGCATCTTGAAATTTTTCTGTCAAATATTAATTACCATAATTAATTAAGAGAGAATTTGAATCCACTCACAAGCCATTTAATACAGCATATCTGTCCTGTTCTAATGACAACATAAACTATTTTACCAATTGCTTCATTTATTCCGATAAGTATGGGATTCTCATTAGCATGTCAAGGAAAACCGAGGGAAAAACAGAACCGCGAGATCCATTCCTCAGTCCCTCTAGTCCCCCAACCCCAGGGCAGCCCCAACTGAGCAGTGCAAACTCGTGCAGAAGCTGAAACTTCTCACCTGTTTGGTCATCGAATCTATGAGGCGAACGTACAGATCCTGCTCTGTCCTGACGCCTGAAACAAAACAAAACAAAACCAGGGACACGTTCTCATCGGGACTTGAGCAAGGGCTCCGGGCACAGGAAGTCCGGGGCTCGGGGACTGCAGCCGTGATGCAGCAAAACTTAGGCTCGGCCTTTCTAACACCAGAAAGGAAACACCCCGGCCGCTCCTCGCTATTTTTCTTTTTCTCTCCTTAATTAAGAACCTTGGGACTCCCGGGGTTGGCCTGGAAAGATGCGAGAAATGTGCTGGGCCGAGAGCAGGCCTGGCTGCCATACCTACCGGTGGGTCCATGGGGTCATTTATTTTTAGAAAACAGAAAGCAAGGGGTGGAAACAGAGTCTGAACTCTTTCTAATGTCTCTCGAGGATTTTTTTAAGAATCTCGAGCCCAGGAAGGAAGTTATGCCGGGTTAGTGGAGCTGCCCNNCCCTCCCACCCACACCCCGTCTCAATCATTAACATTAATTTGCAAAATTGCAAAGAGTCCCTTAGAAGGGATGTTCGGCTGGAGCGCCTATCGATCTGCTTTTTACTTTCTACTTCGGGCCCCGCCGGTTAATCATGTGAAGTGCCATCGACTTATTGACCGTTTATGTTTTGTTTCCCTTCTATGCCATGAGAAGATTTCGTGTTTACATCCATGTCATGTTAATCTCAAAATCTTTATGTCCTTTAAGCGTCTCGGGGGCAAGGGGAGCGAGCTGGGCAGGGGCCACTTACCATTGCTGTACAACAGCTGGAGTTTATAGTGAATGCCGTTGTTGGTTTTCTCGTTGTTGGGCTCCTGAAAGGAACGATAAATAATTGCATTTAGCGGGGTCGG